ATGTTGTACTGAATTTTCTTAAAGAGTCATATATATAAAATTCAAACGGTCCATTTTTCAATTTAAATTTTTTTCTAGCTATTTGCAATAATTGTTTTTGGATGCATATCTTCTCAAGGCTATAAATATAATGATGGTAAAGAAGAATGCCTTTATGGCAACGATGCTAATGCTTGCAATTATGGTGTTGGGATTAGTGTCATTGCATTTCTTGCATCCATTGGATTTCTTGCTGGGGAATATCTTTTTGAGCAAATGTCATCAGTTAAAACAAGAAAGCATTATGTCCTCGCTGATCTGGGATTCTCAGGATTTTGGGCATTTTTATACTTTGTTGGCTTTTGCTACTTAACTAATCGCTGGAGTAATTCTGAAACCCCAGAGGGTGGATATGGTGTTAATAATCTTCAAGCTGCCATAACATTTTCATTTTTTTCTATATTTACTTGGGTAATTGGTTACCTTTTTAACGTAACTTTAAATTTTTTATCAGTTTTTATTTTTTTTTATATTTTTTAAACAGGCTGGTAGTGCATGGTTAGCATACCAAAGATTTCGACAAGGCACTGATAGTGCTTTTGCTCCACGGTATGATGCTGATCCTAGCACTTTACCTGGAGGCAATTCTTACTCAGGTGTACCAATGGGAGCCGAAGGAGATGGAGGTTACCAGGAACCTCCTTTTTCAGGTGGACAGAAGATGCAAGGAAATTTTCAAGCCCCAACTTATTAGGCTAATTCGTTAAAAATGGTAACTATGTAAACCGTTGTCATTATTTTTTTTTTTTTTAAATTTTTATTTTCAGTGAAAATTTTTTTTAAAATTTAGCTTAACTTATGCCAGGCATTAATAACATCATTAATTTTTTAAAGTTAAACTTATATTTTGTCACCGAGTATTATACTTGGAGCTTTTTTTAAATTTTTTGTTGTGAATTAATCTCTTACTTTAAATTATGCGTTTATTTAAAACTAAATTTTTATTTAATTTTTAATTCGTTTAAAAAAAAAAAAAATTAATGTTTTAGAGTAGTATTTAAAAAAAATAGATTTTAAGTGTATTTGTTATTTAATGCAATACTGTACTCTGTAGAAAAAAATCACAATAATTACGATTTAAGTACAATAACGATAAAGATGTGAAAATATTAAAAATATGAGGTTGCACCATTTTAGTAAAAAATGGAAGCCAAAATATTAATAATTAAAGGTAGCACACTTATTAATTTAATGTTGCTTCAATTTTGCTAAAATCTAATGTAATTTATAAAATTGTTTTCATAATAGTCGGGCTCTTGATAGTGTTAAAATTATTTTAATTTAAAAAAATAGTATTTTATTCATTAGAAGCAGCTTAGTTTTTTTGATGGTTTTTTTTTTTTTTTTTAAGGCAATATAATCAATTTTGTTTTTAATTATAAATATCAACGTACACGACGTTTTGATTTTTATTTTATTTATAATTAAGTTTTCATTCCACAAAAAGAAAAAAAAAAAAAACATACTTGTCGATGGTTATTCTCTAATACATAATATTGTGTAAAATTGCTTGACTCTCTGCTGTTAGGGTTTTAATTTCAATTATACACATGCCCAAAAGACATAATTGTTAAATTATTATGTAAAATGTTTTCTTATATGTTATTATTATTATTATTATTATTATTATCATTATATAAAAATATTAAAAATTGTAACATAGTAAATATATATAGAGGCATATGTTTGTTAGCTTACACACCTTAGATTGATTAATTAATATATGTTTTTAAAATAATGCATGTGAATAAAATAAAATAATAATATTATTCTTAATAATCTAGTCGTTAAACATATAAGACTAATAATAATAATAATAATAATAATATAAATTGTTGATTTAATTGGGTATAAAAAAAAAACAATAAATAATTATTATTTAAATTGATTTTATTGATTTAAATTTTATTAACTTAAAACCGGGGCTCTTTATATGTGTGTAAAATATATGCATGTCAAAAAATTTAAATTAATTACTATCATTGAGTTAAATATTAAATATTTATTCTGTTTTGTTTTTTTTTTTTTTTGAAGTTTTTATCTTCAAATATTTTTGTTGTTATTTTTTTTTTTACTCCTTCGAGTAAATATTTTGTGTATGCAATGCAATTAAAAGAAAAGAATACATTGTTTTTTTTGTTTGTTTGTTTGTTTTAAAAACAAACTTTTTTATTTAAATTGATTATTGATCGATAGTCATTATTTATTTTTTAAAAAAAATTATTTTTTTCGATTAATTTTAGTAAAAATAATAAAATATAAAATTTTTTAGTTTTTCATCTAGTTGTTGCTTATGCTTTTTGTACTTAGATGAAATGAATAAAATTGTTTCTTTAAAGCTGTTAATGTATTGTGCAAAATGACAATTTATTAAATAATTAGTATAATATTAAAAAAAAAAAAAAAAAAAAAAGATAATTGCTTATGTATTATCAACTAACTTTTTGATTTTTGATTAAATGAATGGTTATTACATGCTCAAGTGAATAAGTATTTTTAAATCTGCTAAAAACAACTGTACAAAGAAAAATGTATTAATAAAAGGAAATAAAACATAATTAATTATTATTATTATTATTATTATTATTACTTTAAAAACGAATTTTGTGATTTGATAATAAGTTAAAAATTTTAATTATTTTAATAATAATGTTATCATTTTTAAAATTAAAAAAAAAAAAAAAAAAATTTTTTTTGTTATCGTGTAATGTAGCAAAATATAAGTTTTTAATGAGTTTATTATTTTAAACTCACATATCAGTGAAAAAAAAAAATAATAATTTTTTTTTTTTTTATTTTGTTTGTCTTTGTTTAAAAGAAAGTGTCACCGTGTTAAATAATTATAAGTAAAATTACTTAAATGTATTAATTGATGGGTATGTTTTAAAAATTTCATTGTCAAACTCAAAAATTAAATTAGTTAGTTGTTTATTTAATAACTGTGTACAATATACAAAAAAAAATAAAGTATTAATATATTTGTATAGAAAGAAAAAAAAAATTTTTTTTTGATTGTACTTTTGCTATCCTAAAATGTTGTAATCATAAAAATTAATATATATTTATGAAAAAATTGTGTTGAAAATATTTAAAACAAATGTTTATGTTTATGAAAATTTGCTTATTATTTAAAAATTAAACTTTTACTTATTCATGTATAAGAAATTTATGTTTTAATGAGACACACTCAAATTGTATTTAAAAAAAGAATAAGGAATTATTATTATTAACTGAAATTAAAAAGTGGTAATGAAAAAATATTTTATTAAAAGTTATTAATTTTTTATCAAGAATACAAAAATATACTAAAAATATACTAAAAATTTACTAAAACTATAATGAAAATTATATTTTAAAAAATATATTAAAAAAATATTATGTTGAATTATATTTTTGTATTAAAATTAAAATTTTTTTTAAAGTGTTAAAATAACACCGCCATTTTTATTTTTACCGCCAAGAAAAATTTCGTGGCAGTAGTAAAGTGCAGGGAAATTTTTTATTCTTATTTATTTTATCTCAAAGCAGTTGTTTATCAGTTAGTACATTGATGTAGTTTAAAAAAATTGTTTTTTTTTTTTTTTTATTTTAAAAAAAAAATTAAATAATATTTAATATGTCTGTTTCAGATCCTTTAATTAAAGAATTAAAAGGTAAGTTAATTTTTTTTTTAAATATTTCCTTATTATAGAGTTAAATTCTTTTTTTTTTTTTTCTAAAATAAAAAGTACATTACTCTTAAACATTAATTTTTAATAAATAATTTGTTTTTTATTTTTATTTAAATAAAAAAAAAAATAATTATTAATATTTAAATTATTATTATTATTATTTAAATAAAAATAAAATAATTTGGTTTTTAGGTTTAGCTTTTAAAACAACATTAGAATTTGAAAGCAATGGTTGTATAACTGATGCTTCAGTAAACCTCTTACCTTTATGTAATGCCTTAGAAAATATATTGCAAAAAGGATTTATTGGTCATTGCTGGGATTGGTTAGAAGAACTAAACAATGATATGGAAACAGGAGTGATAACAAGATCTTTCAGTTTTATTAGAGCTGTAGAAATAGCTAAAACATGTTATAAAGTTAAAACTCCAACTGGTAGATTGAGGTTATTAATTAGATGTTGTCTAGTTAATAAATGTCTTCATATACCTGTAGAAATAGCAGTATGTATCAATCAAGAATTTATAAAATGACACAACTAAAGAATTAATTTCTTTAAATATTAAAATTTTTTTTTTGTACTTGACAAAAATATTTTCAGTAATTTACTTAATTTGGTTTATTGGCAAAACAAAGATTTTAAACAGTTGTGAATTATTTTATATAATAATAATTATTGAACAAATTAAAAAATATGTTTTTTGTAGCAAGTCGACACATTATAATCTTAGTAGTTTTTTTTATTTGCATTATAGGTAAGGCTTTACACCAATCATAGAGGGCAATGGTATGATAGTAATTGTTCAATTCTCGGTGATGAAATTTTGGGTGAAATTTTTCTCTCAGTTGTGCTTCAATTAACAACGCTAATTTTTAAATTAGATTTAAGCAATGCAAGATTTTTGGATAATACATTCGAACTTCCTAAATACTTAGATATTGAATTTGTACCATGTAATACATTAGGAATCACTGTAGTTTTTATCGAAGACAAAGCTTTAGTCGTAGGGGTTGATGAAAAAAGCGTTGCTGCAGAAGACGTTAGTTGTAATAATTAACTTATATAAAAATGTTTATATATTATATCAGTAATTTTATATTTGAAATTAATATTATAGAATCAAGTTGAAGTAGGAGATGTTTTAGATGAATTGAATGGTCAAGTTTTACGATCGGAAATGAGAGGAAAGTTAAATAATATAATGAATAAATGTAAAGCAAAGCCAATTTCTGTTAAACTTATTAAATCAATTAATAAAGAAACTGAAAGCATTTTTCTTCCAATAAAGCCATTATTAAGAAAAGCCAATATAGATATATGTAACCTTAAAGAAAAAATTATATGCAATAAAAAAGATAAAGAAATTGAAATACCTAAAATAATTAGGTAAATAAATTTTATTGGTTTTTAGTTGTTGCTTAGTGGTGTAAATAATAAATTTAAAACTTTTAAATTTTATTTTAGGAGTGGACCTATAGTGAACTATGTTGGCCATATAGTCATAGGTTCGGAAGGTGATGTTAAGCAAATTGAATATGCAGTGTCATGTATTCTCACGAATAAAAATTCATTGGAGATAAAAAAAGTTTATTTGGAGTGTCAAGAATTAGGACTAAAAGTAATATCTTCCACTTCTGGAAAAATTTTATTACAGAATTCATTTATGGAAATTTCATCTTGTGGTCAAACTCGAAA